CGCTTCAGCATCCGGGCAAGTTATCCTTGCGTTGGAAAGGACCATGCCGTGTCGTGAAGGTGGTCTCGGACCATCTTTTGGAAGTGCAACAGCTGGTGCCACCAGGCGAAACGTCTTTGCACCATACCAGCCGCCTCCGGCTTTACTGCGAAGGCGGTCGAGACATCGATGAAGACCTGAAGGCGCAAATTGCATTCGGTGATGAAGGTTTCTACGTTGAAGCTCTTCAAGACCTCCGTATGAGTGATGGTGCCTGGCAAGTGAAGGTCAAGTGGCTCGGTCTCGATGATCTTGAGTCATCTTGGGAGCCGGCTCTGTCCATCTACGAAGACGTTCCAGTACTCTTTCGGCGCTGGGCTATGAGCCGCCTGGACGATTACGGTGTGGGCGAAATGCTTGACGACATGGAGCGTGCGTTTGGCCACCCGTTGTAGGGGGGAAGTGTTCTCGGCCGTGCCTCGGTTCAACTACCCGTGCAAGTGTGTGTGCAGTTGACAGTGAGTTCAGTCGGGTTCTATTTTTAGACTCGCCGAGGGAGCAACTAATTAGTCCCTCGGTGGATCCTATTTAGGCCCAGGCTAGGACTTACCGAACCTCCCTCGGTACACAGTAAGTGTATTGACTGTGATGCCTGGATTACAGCGAAGTGATTCGCTGGTTGATGGGCACATAACCTGAATGATAATGAAGACACTTTTGGATTTGTCATCGAAGTCTACCGTCGTGAGCACGGTAGCTGGTTGTGCAAGCCGGCGAAGACAACATATATTTGTTGGGACAAAAAATGGGAAATCCCAATAGTGTGCAATTTTCGGGACAAAGTGGATGTCCCAACCCCAAATTTGGTTTTCGGGACATCCGGTGGAAGATTTTGTCCCATCTGATGTTCCAATATCGAGCCGGGGCATATTTGGGGATGCGGTGGAGATGCTCTAACTGAAAATGTTGGGGACATCCCGCAAATTTGGGGACAAAACCGCCCGGATAAGTCCCTTACTATCCGTATTGTAACATGAAGTAACGGTACAACCGAAGTTTTTGAGTTATAGATTAATTGAGTTTGGATTATCATTTTTAAGACATTCCTCCGCGAGGGCCGACACTAGAACCACATGTTATGGAACCGCTTCGCAAATTGTAACGCGCCTGCTCGACCAGGGGCGGTGTGTTATCTTCGGTTTTTACTTCGCTCAACGCTTCATACCTCGTGCTTCGACCGATCTTCTTCGAAGTTCGGTCCTCGTATTCGTACGCGGCCCTTGTTATCCGGATTCCCCAGGGGAAGGACGGATAAATCCTTGCGGAAATAATCCGGGGAAGCCGGGGATCGAACCCACGACCTTTGAGTTAAGAAACCGATTTTTTGAGTTATAGAGTTCCCGCGTTGGAGACGAATACTGTATAACGTGACGGATCAGTGATTTGCCGATTTTGAGCACCATTCAATCGACCATATCTGGCGAAGTTCAAATTATCTCGACGTGAAAGTTGCAGTGCCAAACACACCTTTTTGAGCTTTATCTCATCGTGCGAATACAAATCAAAAATGAGAATTTGAATCAGGGCAAATAAAATGTCAAAGTTAGGCGCATAAACAGGCGATCGGTGATTTGCTGAAATTTAACCTTGTAATCATTATGGGAATTTTACGCCTTCGATGAAACAAAATTATTGATTTATAGAGCAATATTATATGTATGCAGTAATAATATTTTACAGGTCGTACTCGATTTGAAAATAGGCGAGCCCCTCTTTAAGTTAGTACTATTCCCACCATAAGGTTTTGAAGGTGTCAGTTGTTGCAGGCTTTTGTTTTATCCAATCATATCAATTCTTAAATTCTATTGGGTAATGCAGCTCGGGAAATCACAGATCTTTCGGCAAATCACAGATCCGTCACGTTAACTGTAAATAAGATGTCAACAGCATGGAAAAAACATGATATTGTCGATTTGCTGGGAATTTACGAATATGGAGAGGTTCAGAGCCCTATTTCGTAAACCACGCGACGGCGTTTGATTGGTTAGTCTGTGAGTTTGGCAGTTTCGCATCTGCGCGCCATTTCCAAACACACGCCCTTCTGGCAGCTCGTCGATACCATGAGCGCTATTGAGTATGTTGTCTTACACCGACAAGCCAGCCCCAACACTATGACGAATTTCTTCTACGACTACTACTTCCTAGGAATCAAGAAGTCTTGTTTGGCAGTCATCTAAAGGAAGGACGAGAAAACGATTCATTTCACTCCACGACGCACCACCACAGTCGAACGCTGCCAACCTGACAGCGGACGTATTGCGCTGACCGACAGTCTCTTTGATTATAGGCTCAAGTGTGAGCTCGTACAACGAGGTTGAGTGCGCCCCCACCTCTGGTTGTGGGCTTGGACGTGGGCTTTGTGAGGACATCGTGTTCCTCGCGGGAGTGTCTGTAACGTCCATGGTGGGTGTCCACGTGTATGAGTTGTGTCACAAAGTAGGAAACAGGAGGTAGGTGTAGGTATTAGGCGTGTAGCAACTTTGCGCAGAGTGTCCAAGACAAACCAAGTATGTGGGACAGGGGAAAACGAAAAGTGACATTCAGTCGTTTACAAACTATCTAGCTTCGTTCCTATTGGCTAAAAATCAGCCAAAAGGAAACACTGACGTGTGAGAATCAGCGCTCTTATCCTTGTGCTAGAGCCGTGATTGGGTGAGCAATCACTAGGGTAGGGTAGCGACATGAAGAATATACAGAACATGCAGGTATAAAGCGGCCACTGTCTCGGCCTGTCAGAGTTGATAGACTAGGCGATAGAGTTTGGGAGACTTCATAAGCGAGGACAAAAGGCGTGAACACAGGCGAGAGAAAAGCACCACTTGATAGCCACCACTTTTCACAAGCCGAAAAATGGGCACGCCTTTGTGGGCACCAGGGCTCACAAACGTCGATGATGAATATGTAGGCGTGAAAGGTATAAGTAGGAGAAAAGGCGTAGGTCGGAGGAGGGAAATGTAGAAGGAAATGCACAAGCCAAAGATTTTTTAGACTTGGTAGGCGTAGACGGGAAGACGTAGACGGGAAGCTGTAGTTAGACAGGAAATTTTTTTTGTGTGAGGCGAAGATGACTTAGACTTGCTAGGCGTAGATGGTAAGGCGGAGTAATAGAGGAAAGAAAGATGGAATGTTGGTGGTAGGCGTAGACGGTAAGG